GTCTTTTATCCTGCGAGTCCTTGAATATTTTACAGATACAAGAATTCAGTTCTCCAGTGAGTCTAAATGACAGAAGGAATGGACAAATTCCTGAGCCTGCTCGTCCTTTGGTTACAACTAAACTGTGAGTTAGAGGGATTTGGAAATGGGCAAAGAATGGGCAACTCCCGGATATTCCTCCCCAGGGAAGACAGAAAGTCAGGGAGTTGTACCTGCATGGTTTCTGGGAGTTCCTGTGGAGAGCGAAAAAGTAAACTTAGGTTAGTTATCAAAGAATAATCAGCTGCTAGCCGGCCTGTCTCTGTTTTCTCTTTCTGAACAGGGGTGAGCAGTAAGCAGGACGTGAGTCAGAGTCCTGAAGCTCTGAGCGTGAGAGAGGGAGACAGCGTGGATCTCAACTGCAGTTACACCGACAGCGCTCTGTACTTCCTGCAGTGGTTTAGGCAGGATCCCGGGAAAGGGCTCACATCCCTACTGTCAATTCAGGCGAATCAGAAAGAGCAAACAAGTGGAAGAATTACAGTCTCATTGGATAAACCATCAAGACACAGTGCTTTACACATTGCGACTTCTCAGCACAGTGACTCGACCACCTACCTCTGTGCTGTGAGCCACAGTGCGCAGAGGGAACCTGTTCCCAGGACTCAAACTGCAGATGGGCTCCAACCACGTCCTGGCTTGGCGCTGAGGAAACTTCTTCCATTAAGGGGTTTTCTGTATTGACTTTCCTTCCAGAAAGAGGCAATTAGCAAGGGTAGGATAATTTGAGAGAATAGCATTGAAACATGTACATTACCACAGGTAAAATAGATGACCAGTGCAAGTTCCATGCATGAAGCAGGACACCAAAGCCCACGCTCTGGGACAACCCGGAGGGGTAGGGTGGCAGGGGAGGTGGGAGGGGTGCTCAGGATGGTGGGGACACAGGTATACCTGTGGCCGATTCATGCTGATGTAGGGCAAAAACCATCACAATATTGTAAAGTAATTATCCTCCAATTAAAGTAATTTTAAAAAATCTGATAAAATGATCTAAAATTATATTGTGAATTCTTTGATCATTAGATTTTCATCAACTTCAATTTAAATAATAGTTTTACAATCTAAATGGAAAAAGAATTTGAAAACGAATAGATACATGTATATGTATAATGAAATCACTTTGATATACACCTGAAAATAACACAACATTGTTAACCAGCTCTTCTCTGATATAAAATAAAAAGTCAAAAAATAATAGTTTTGTTGAGATTAAGTAACATTTCACACAGTTCACTCTTTTAAATGAACAACTAAGTGTGCATCTTGTATATTCACAACATGGCACAATCACTACCTCTATCTAGATCTGAAACCTTGTCATCACCCCAAAAGGAAACCACGTGCCCATGACACAGTTACTCCCCGCGCTCCCCATGCACACGTCCCTGGAAGCCACCCACCTGCTTTCTGACCACGGGTTTGCTTATTCTATGCATTTCATGCAAATGGAATCTTACAATACATGGCATTTTGGCATTGTTTACTTTGCTTAGCAAAATACTTGGGAAGTTCATTCAACTCAGGACCAATTGCTAATGTTAGTTAGTTAGTGAAAGGCTCTCAGTCGAGTCCAACTCTTTGAGACCCCTTGGACTATACAGTCCATGGAATTCTCCAGGCCAGAATACTGGAGTGGGTAGCCTTTCAATTCTCCAGGGGATCTTTCCAACCCAGGGATCAAACCCAGGTCTCCCGCATTGCGGGCGGATTCTTTACCTGCTGAGCCACAAGGGAAGCCACAAGGGAAGCCCAAGAGTACTGGGGAGCCATTCCTTCTCCAGTGGATCATTGCGGGCAGATTCTTCACCAACTGAGCTATGAGGGAAGCCCAGAGCCAACTAGAGAAAGGCAAAAGTGCATCCTTAGCCAATCACACGGGATGCCATACTGCTAATTAGCCTGCTGACATCGTCCTTGTTCTTCCCACGCCCCTCCACCTGTCTGTTTTGTTAGAACTTTGTCAGTTTTACTGATCCTCTTAAAGAACCAACTCTTTGTTTCATTGATTTTCTCTATTGTTTATCTCTTTTAAATTTTACTGATTTCTCCTTTTATCTTTATTATTTTCTTATGCTTGTTTTGGATTAATTTATCTTTTCCTTGTCTAGGTTCTTCAGGTAGAAGCTTAGATAATCTATCTGAG